TATTAAAGGCTATTTCAGATAGGCCCATGAGAAGGGTGTTATAAGATGTGTCAGAAAAAGCAAAGAATGGAAGTACTAATCACTCTTTGCATTTCCAAATTAACCCTTATTGGAAGCCGACCAAGGGGAGCCCTTCACAGAAGAAGGATGTCTTTTCTAGGGACGATTCTGTTTTAGATGGTGTTGATATTTGTTTGATCTAGATAATTAGCATCAATAGCCTTTTTAAGGGAGGAAACCAAGAAGATGTTTTCATTTTACAAACTCTACATCCACTTGTTATAACATTCCACAAAGAAGTTTTCAAGATCAATTGTTTATTCTAGTTTCAATATTAAATCTTTAGTAACTATATCTTTTTAAAATTAATAAGTAAAATTTAAAAAATTCTATAATTTTTTAATAATTATAAGTTGTTTAAAATTAACTAAAATAATAAGAATAGCATAACGTTAGATTAAAACCAATAGTTGATGTTTAAAAAATCATGATAAAATTTAAATATGGATATACAAGTAATTTTGAAATAATTATCCATTACAATAGTTAAACATAACATTAAATCGATTATAGTTAAAATTATTTAAAAAATATGGTCAAATAAGTAATTTTGAATTGAGTAATTCATGACAATAGTTAAAAGACTCAACTGCAAAAAATGGTCCCTGTTGTTTTCATTTTTTCGGACCACACTTCCTAACCTTGAAAATAAATTGAATGATGGTCTTATTTAGTAACTTTGCTTGTGTTTTTGGTCTCTGTCTAAACTGGAAAGACTGTTATACCATTCTTCCTTATGTTAAGCAATTTTTTAAATTTAATAAATATTAAAAAGAAACATGCCTACACCCATTCTCTCTCTCTCTCTCTCTCTCTCTCTCTCTCTTTCTTTCTTTCTCTCTCTCTCTCTCTCTCTATTAAACGCATCAGGCAAGAAAAAGTAATACCCAACTTCCCCCGTACCATCTTATTTTTCCTTATTTGACATGTAACTTAAACTACACATACATAAAACACAATTAAATTTGAAACACACCAAATTTACACCAAATTTTTAAACAACTGTATGGAAATCACCAGAAAATGTACCACCTGTAGAAGAATAACGAAATATTGGAAACGGAAGCGAAAGACCTAAGAAGAAAAGCACCTCATGTTTCTCTTTCTTTCCATTCCCCATCCCTTCTTCATCTTTAGCCTGAATAAGAGAGGAACATAATGATTTCAACCTCCGATGGATTAGGTAATGGAGAATCCAAACTCATATGTGGAGTCACCGGAGCACCAGTATCATAAGACCCCAACATATAAAGACAACTGAATAGATATTATGTATTACCAAACCCATCGTCCAAACATATACAAGGTGTAATCACCTCCTCTAAATCAGAAACCCTTTTGAGGTGGATTTTAATTTTAGTGGTTTATGATGGATCTTAGTTCGAATCAGGAACTCGATTGAGAGAAAAGAGTACGATGAGGTGATACAAAGTGTCGATGGTATGGGGACACTGTTTTTTTCTCTGTGATTTATGGATCTCTAAGGTATACATGGGAAGAAACACACAAAATGTGTGTGAAGATAGCATTTGCTTTAACTCAATTAGGGATTTTTTTCATCCCTCTGTTTTGATGCAGCGATTGAAGCAAATACTTCATGGCACCCGCTACTTTTTATGTTATCATTCTTTCATCGTCTTTTTGGATGTATGAGGTTGTTATATACTGGAGGTGGGAGGTGATCAGTGGATTGCAAGAACCCATTAGATATGCTCTTGGGTATATGTATATGTGTGTGTGAGGGGGGAGAGAGAGAGAGAGAGAGAGAGAAAGAAAAGAAAGGTGGGCCCCTTTAATTTTAATATTTATTAAATATTAAAAAAATATATTTAAAAGTAAGGAAGAATGGTATGTTAGATAATTATGGGACCACTTCATAAATATGTATAATGTTATCATTAAATCTGATTATTATGATAAGAATATAAATTGTTGATGGACCGATTTATATGATATTTACTTACCTTTTGTGGGTTGAGTTCCTAATTTGACTCAAGATCCTCTACGTCCATTCCATCTCTCACATTAGGGTATATCTCAATCTATATATACATGTGATGAGGAGCATACTAAGAGACATACAAAATTACACAGAAAAATTCGTTTCTTTATTGCTGAGGGTTTTAGAGATAGTTCTTGAGATCAACTGGAAAACTCATCCCAATCTTCAGATCTAAAAATCTCAATGAAATAAAGGTGTGTAATCTTTCTGTCATGTTTGAGTTTTCTTTTAATAGATTCGAGATAAAGATCTTTAGATTATGGTTCCCTATTTTATTTTTTGGTTATTAAAGAGGGATAGAAACATAAGCAAACTTGTTGATAACAATGTTTTATCAAATTTTTTTGTGAAGGTCTAGACGTGTTTAAAAAAAAAATACAAATCATAGAGACAATTTTTGCAGTAATGTCTAGTTAAATGAAACATTAAATTGACAATTATATTTATGTTATTAATGTGATAGTCGTTCATAAAGCTTATTGAATAATATTGCTTAAAGTGGTTGCAAGTTTATATATATATATATATATATATATATATATATATATATATATATATATATATATATATATATATATATATATATTTGAAAATTATTATTTTAATAGTTAATATTAATTATATCTCTAATCTAACCTAATAAATGAAAATGATTTCTGTCACATGTCATGTTCTCTATACATTTGCCACATGTAATTTTTGTTAGATATTATGGATTTCTTATTTTGCACATGACATTTTCTGTTTTTTTTTTTTCACTTTTCTTAAATTAAAAATTTTGGAATTGAATACATAGTTTATATATGTAAGGTATTTAATTATATTAAACTCTCAGAATAATTGCTATACAAACCTTAATTTCCTTCATTTTTAATTCCCTGATAATTTGCATATGTTAGCCAATTTCACGCTAAGCTCTATTAACAATTCCAAAATTATATAATATTGAAGGAAAAAATTTCACAAGATCGTGATACAAATTTCAATATTTCTGGTATTGTAAAAAAGTACGTATATTTATAATTTTTTATATTATTTTATTAAAAAAACTCGTATAATACAAGAGTCTCATACCTAATCTTATCTAATAAATGAAGGTTTTTTTGTCACATGTTACGCTCTCATTCAATTTGCTAAATGTCATTTTATGGTTATTTTGAATTAATTTCTTTTTCATATGTCATTTATGGGTTTTTCTATTTTAATAAAGGGATAATGACTTGAAAGGGTAACGAACTTTCGACTTTGTTCACATTTAGTCACTAAACTTTTTTTCGTTATTTATTTGTCATTGAACTATTGAAACTGTTCACATTTTACCCTTATGACCGGCTGTTACCGGTCATAAGGGTAAAATGTGAACAGTTTCAATAGTTTAGTGGTAAATAGATAACGAAAAAAAGTTTAGTGACTAAATGTGAACAAAATCAAAAGTTCGTTTCCCTCTAAAAAGTTCAATGACTAAATGTGAACAAACTTCCTCTTTTATTATGTTTTAGAAAATTATTTATTTTTGTTAAATTGTAGCAAATTTGTTGATGAAGAAATCTATGAAATAAAAAAAACAAAACCCCGAAAAATATATTAAAAAAAACGAAAAACCGAAACCGAAATAAAAAACCAATGGTTTGGTATTTTCCAAAATAAAAAATCACAATTTTCCAATCTGATTTTGGTTTTACAAAAATTCAACTTTCGGATTTCCATATCTAAATCCTTCCCCCTTTTTATATTCGAAAAATGATTATAAAACCAAAAAGAGAATGAGAAAGCGCTCAATTCAGAATTTTCTATCCAAAACTCCCCCTTTATGACATGAGAGATAAAGAGAGAGAGACATGTAAACACCTCTATATAAGGTGGGTTCATACCACATGTAGAGGTGTGCTTAAGAGATGTAACATTGAGAGTGTTAGTGTGTGTTAATTATGTAGATTTAGATCTAGATCCTTTTTTGTAAACACCTTTCATAATCGAATGCATATCTTAAACACCCAAATCACCGTGTTCTTTAATTCCGCATGCCAAACCAATGGTCATAATTCACATCAGTGAGAATGGTTCATTTTTTTGTAAAACCAAAATTAGATTGGAAATTTTGATTTTTTATTTTGGAAAATGTCAAACCATTGGTTTTTTATTTCGGTTTCGGTTTTTTGTTTTTTTTAAATATATTTTCAGGGTTTTGTTTTTTTTTATTTCATAGATTTCTTCATCAATAAATGTTGTTACAATTTAACAAAAATAAATAATTTACTAAAACATAATACAAGATGAAGTTTGTTTACATTTAGTCATTGAACTTTTTAGAGGGAAACGAACTTTCGATTTTGTTCACATTTAGTCACTAAACTTTTTTTCGTTATCTATTTGCCACTAAACTATTGAAACTGTTCACATTTTACCCTTATGACCGGTAACAGCCGATCATAAGGCTTAAATGTGAACAGTTTCAATAGTTCAATGACAAATAGATAACGAAAAAAAGTTTAGTGACTAAATGTGAACAAAGTCGAAAGTTCGTTACCCTTTCAAGTCATTATCTCTTTAATAAATTCCATATAATATTTTAATATAATAATTACAATAAATGTAGTAATAAATGAATATTAATTTTATTAATGAATTTACATTCTTATTTCATAATTCACAAATTAAACTCATTAGTTTATTTTGTTTATTTATTTAAATTTAAAAGACTAAAAAATCAATTTTAATAATTTTTTTTATTTTCTTATAAATCTAAAGATTTTAAATATTTAGAAATAAAATTATAATCAACCACGGGTAATAATCCAAGTATCAAAAAAAGAACAAATTAAGCACTACTTTTTTTTTATTATTATTATGGCAAAAAAGTAATTTCACATTTATGACAAGAGTCTACTTAAACCTTTGATATAAACGACAATATGTTTAAGAAAAGCCAGTTAGAAATATGGAATACCAACTCAACACTACCCTATTCTTCTTCCTCTCAACAACAGTCTTACTGGCTTCCACCACCGCCGGCCACCCTTTCTTCCCTTCTCCCGAAGACACCGACTTCATTCGTTCAAGCTGCAAGACAACTCTGTACCCGGACACATGCTTCACCTCTCTCTCTGGCTACTCCGGCACTGTTCACCATGACCCCGGCCGCCTCGCCAAGGTGGCTATTCATGTAGCTCTATACAACGCCACCGACATGGGCAATTATGTATCCAACCTATCCCTACACTCAGACTACAGAAACACCAAGGAAACCGCCGCTATACACGACTGCTCATCGTTGTTCCAAGACGCTGTAGACGAAATCCAGGATTCGTTCAATGAAATGAAGCGGCTTGGTTGGACGGGGGAGTCGGTGAAGTTCCAGCTAAGTAACGTGCAGACGTGGATGAGCGCAGCCTTGACCAACGAAGAGACGTGTACGGATGGGTTTGAGGAGGTGGCCGACGGCGACATGAAGGCGGACGTTTGTAGTCGTGTGGTGGCGGTTAAGGAGGTGACGAGTAACGCTTTGGCGTTGGTTAACCATTATGCAGATAATGTAGCGGCGTTGGGTTGACGAACGGTTATTAAATTTTCAGGTAATTAATTGATTGATGATACACTAAAAAACAATATATAGATATGAAAAGCTTTAAGGATAACTGTATTTGTATAGTTTTTAGTTAAAATTTGGGGATTTAAGGAGTGTTATTTTACATGATGCAACATAAAAATATTATTTAATTGAATATGTGGGACTTCTGATCTGTTCCTGTTATGCTATGAGGATGTCAATAATATTTTGTAATGATTAAAAAGCTTTTATATAACTAATTATTAGGATTATTGATTAGTTAAAGTCGTTTAACATTATTGAAACATATTACTTTCTTATAATTTATCAATCACTTTGTGTTCTTTAATACTTATTTAACTATTGTGGCATTAATTTTTTCCCAATATGTTTAGATTTTAATAATATGTTCATTTTATCTCCCACAATCATATTTTGTATTTTTAACTAATTAATCTAATTTATTAAATATTAAAATTAAAAAATATATATATATTTTTCAATAAAGATATCAAATATGATATATGTTTAAAACAAAAATTGGAATAAAGAGTTAATAAAATATTTAAAATAGATAAAGTTAAGTAATTAATTATCAGAAAAACAATTTACGAAAAACTTATGTATTAAAGATCTACTAAAACAGATTATTTTAGTAAATACAGAATTTGATATTAAAGAAATTATATAAAAAAGTTAACCGGTATCGATTTATAAAATATAATGAAAAACTCCCAATTAAAACAATATGATATCGTCGCGAGCATTATCCATGTTGTTGCCTTTGTCTTGATTTAATTGATCAAATTTACCAATTTGTGTCAAAACCAACCGTTTGGAATAAAGAGTTGATAAAATATTTAAAATAGATAAAGGTAAGTAATTAATCATCGGAAAAACAATTTACGAAAAACTTATGTATTAAAGATCTATAAAAATAGATTATTTTAGTAAATACAGAATTTGATATTAAATGAATTATATAAAAATTTTATCTGGTATCTATTTATAAAATATAATGAAAAACTCCCAAATAAAACCATATGTTATTGTCGCGATCATTGTCCATGTTGCCTTTGTCTTGATTCAGTTGATCAAATTTACCAATTTGTGCCAAAACCAACAATTATTAGAGAATCTATAATGCATGTTTTTTCAAAAGTTTATTGGGTTAAAAAACATAGTAAAAGCTTATTTAGTGTGGTAGCTTTAAAATATTTAAACAAAACTATATAAATGATCCATGTAATTTTCATTATCTTTGGTTAGGTTAATTTTTTTATTATTTTATTTTATTATTTTGGCATAATTTAGTTACAGTTTTAGTCCTTATAAAAAATAAAATAACTATCTTATCCAATAAATATTTATTTTCTAATTTTTTTTATTAGATCGAATAAATGTATCATTATTGAATAAAAGATGAATATTAATATTAATCGGGTCTTTGTAGAAAATAATTTATGATCATTCTGGAAACCAGATCAAGCTAAACCTATTTGACACTATGGATAAACAAAGAATAAATCAAGCCTAGACGTTGTTAACTAGTTTTGATTGGAAATGCGTTTGAAGGTATATTGTTTGATAGAAAATGGTTTGAGATCAAATCCAAAAAGGGTAAAAAAAAAATGTTATTTGTTGGAATTTCAAGTGGTTTAAAAGGCAGTGGAGGAGTTAGAGACGGTTGTTCTGGTCAAAAGACGAAATCCATAATTTTGAAAAGGTTTGGACCATAACAAAAAAAATAACAAACCAAATGAACTCTTTTTTTACAATTATATGTCTTCTATCTATTTACAAATATTTTATAACCATTATATTTGTCAGATTAATAAATTAGACCAACTATTTAGTATTCTTTAACATTTTAATTATCTTTTTTTTTCAAATTTAATAACATTTTATTTTATATCCTACTTATATTTAGATATTAAATCTTTATTTATTTTTATTAATTGATCTATCTAATTAACTATACAAAATAAAATTAATGTTTCTTTACATGAAATATGTAATTTAAATGTAATTGTCAAAACTTCAAAACATCAAAATAAAACAAATATCATATATTATTTTAAACTTCGTGATCATATATATTTTTTGTGTGTATTGTTTTTATAACTATATGTAAAAATTTGATTGTTAATATATTTTTCGGAAAAGTACTCAACATAGTTATTTTTTGTATTTTATGTTTGTACCGTTATGTCTAATAACTATATGAGAGGACTTTATAAATCATTAAGATATATTAGTTAATTTATAATTTTTTTTGAAAATGTTAACTATTGTAGAATTCTATAACAACCTTTTTTTATTAAATAAATTTAAGTGGAAAGCGGATATAACAAAAATAAAAAGATTTTAAAAGTTTAACAGTTGAAGATCCCTTAATTAAAAGCTTTTTTAAATAGTATATAAGTTTAGAAGCACTAAGGCAAAAAAATTTAATCATTGTGCAGGTCGAATAGAGTTTTCCATAAATTATAATTAAACAAATTATATCACAATTAAAAAAATCTATATAAATAAATTAGTAACTACTATTTACAAGTTGGTGAAAAATATTAGAGATTGTTTCAACCATTTAAATTGATGAGTTGTTTATGTGTAATAAAATTCAACAAAATAAGCTCTATTACTATTTGTATTTGTGTATCTGATGTGATTCGTATATAAAAGTTTTTTTCCATACACAACAATTTAAGATTTATAGAGTTGTACAATATAATGTTCTAAAACAAAAATTGTTGTGTATGGAGAAAAATTATTATGTACGAATCAACTGTCTTTGTGTATGCTCTTAATGGTTTATGAGATTATATTTTTAATGTTTTAATTGAAGCAACTACTAAATGAGAGTTAATTGATGTTATTTGATACTTTAAAATCTACCCCATCCATTTGAGAATAATCTCAAGTGAGATTTGGATTTCTTAAGTGATTTTGTGGGGATTGAATGCATCAAAAGATTTGAATTTAAATAGATTGGATTTAAATGAATTTAAAATATGTTATGTGCCTAGTTGTAGAATTTTAAACGAAGTTAGATCTATTCTTTTTTACAATCTTGTTTCTTTTTAAAGAGTTTGAAATATATTTATATAAAATGGCATACATGCCATTTATTTTTTTTTCTATAAATAATTGTTTTTAAAATAATTTATAAAAATATATTATATATAGTTCTAAAAATAATTTTATAAAATATTCTTTAAAAACATTTAAAGTTTATTTAATCATGAGAAAAACATGATTCATAATGAAATAAAAAGTATAAAGTGTTTATAAGGATTGAAAGATTCAAAACCCCTAATCATTGTCGTTTCACTTTCTATGTTGAGTTATAGCAGTCGGTTGATATAGTATTGAGAAGTAATCTGGGGTGTGCTTGATATCTAAAGTATAATCATTTTGTTTTCAATGTTAGATTTTAGAATGGAAGAAGTATATTTGTTCAACCATCGCTTTGGATCGCATATATTGTTTCATCATGATGATCATAAGGACAAATGCAAATGATGTTTTATAGCCTCTAAAAAGGGAAAGGAAGGATTAACATTGACGACAGACAAGCATGGTAGTAACCATGGTAATGCAAGTAACCCAAACTTTAAAGCAATTGAAAGACTATGTGTCAGTTAATGTCACAAACTTCCTACCAATCTTTGAATCTTGAGACATTTGAAAAGTTTTTGAGGATATTAGGATCATATTAGATGTTTATATATCATGCAACTTATCAAAAATTTGCAAATATTTCACGTTTGGTTTCTACATATCGATGATCAGTTTTGAGTTAATTAGTCCATAAGTTAAGTTTTGTGTAGATTGAGAATAATCATATATTCGACAATATGGCACTATTTTTCTGTAATGACAAAGTTAAATTAAGCGTAGATGTAAGGATGGTTATGAATAAAAAAGATCAAAGAACCTTAAAGGTCAATCTGGATAGAAGAATTAGAAAACCTATTCGTCGATGTTATTATGGTTGAGATCTTTTGAACGTATTAATTGACCTACCGTGACTGGATAAAAGATTTCCATTTATTAAAGAGACATGTTTGTAGTCCGTAATGATTCATGTGTGGCATTTGTGATGTTAGATATGTTCATGTTATTGCATATCTTCATAAATTTCACTACATTAAAGGATTTTATTATGGGGAGATTAGTTATATCGAAAGATCGTATATTTGGCTGGAATAAGTCGTATAATGTGTGTTTAGAATTCAAACAAGATGATATTATGGAAACTACTTTTAAATAATTGAAGGAGTGTCCAAAGAGTCCATGGTTCAAGAACATATGGTATGTATTGAAATGGCTTTCCTTTGTGTGTGTTGGAACTCAAAAGTGAAAACCCAAGGTAGAGCCTTCCGAACGTATGGTATCAATTGGTATCTATGTGGTTGTTTGGATTTATAATATTCCAAGAAACTATTATCAATGTATACCATTGTTGCTTAAAATCTTTTTCTCAAAACAACTATGGCCATTCAGAATTTACAACCAATAATATAGTATGTAAATGTCTCAAATAGTTTGGGATGCTTGACTAGGGATCCTATATTGATTGTTATGGAATACAAGCTATAGAAAACACAAAAGAGAAACTATCTTAAGAGAAAATGAAAGGATGTTTAGAGATCATTGTTTGAAGGTCCCCAAGCTCTTGATTGTCAGACGGTTATTGACGTTGCTACTACTATTCTTGGCGGTGTAGTATTTCAACATCCTTTTGGACCTCCAATCACTCAAGATCTAGAAAAAGATTGAAATTGCCTTTATCAGACTTTTTGTGGTATCTTACTTGACTTGGTTGATCACATCAAGTTGTGTGCTTCGGCTTATTCTATATAACACTAGAAATTTTTTTCTAACGTACTAAAAATGAAATGGATAAGAAACTAACTTCAATAATCAGTGATTTTAAAAAAGTTCATATCTTACGTGGTGTAAGCTTAAAGAATGATGCAACTCTTTTAGATTCATCA